ATGAAGGGTCTAGGCCCGAAACGTCAGCCTCTCTGCTCCTATGACGCTGCTTGACCTGCTGTGTTCATCCAGCCCTGCACCTTGTTGTCTCGGTTTATATAAATTGTCTAGTTGATAACCTGTCATTGGTTTCAATAAGTTGAGGCAGAACTAAAGGAAAGTAACCTGAATGTTGGCAATGCTGACAACTATTTAAAGCACAGATACATTTGCATTCTTAGTGCTGTGTACAGTTTGAACCACTGTCCCAGACTGAGAATATTGGGATGTAGTACAGAAAAGTCACCATAGAGTGAAACCTACTTTAAGACATCTGTGCAAAAAACTTCATGCTGTTTAAGAATAAATTGAATGGGATCTTTTAATGTGATCTGTTTGGATTTCCAGAAGACTTTTGACAAAATCCTTCTTAGGAAGCTACTAATTAAGATAAAAGCCCATAGTGTTAGGGGCAAGGGACTGGCATGGATAGATGTTTGGCTGACCAGCAGAAGGCAGAGTGGGCAACTGGGGCTCTTTTCACAATGACAGTTGGTGACTGGTGGATTTCCACGGTCGTTGGTATTGGGACAGTGAGGGCATTATTGCTAAATTTGCAGATGATTAAGATAAGTAGAGGGGCAGGTAGTGTTGTTGAAGCAGGGATCTGCAGAAGGACTAGGACAGGCTAAGAAAATGGGCAAAGAAATGGCAGATGGAAAACAGTGCGGGAGCATGTGAGGTTGCGCATTTTGGTAGGGCGAATAGAGGTGTAGACCATTTTCAAAAAAGGAGAAAGTCTTCAAAAATCTGTAGTACAAAGGGACTTGAGTCTTCATTCAGGATTCTGTTCAGGTTAACATGCAGGTTCGTTTGGCAGTTAGGAAGACATGCAATGTTCACATTCATTTCCAGAGGGCTAGAATTTAAGAGCAGGAATGTATCACTGAGGCTGTGTAAAACTCGATGGTTTTATGTCCTGTATCTAAGAAGAAAGGATGTTTTGATGTTGTGCAGGGTCCAGAGATGGTTGATAAGAATGTTCCCAGTGATGAAGGGCTTGTCATATGAGGAGCAGTTGAGGTTTCTGGGTCTACTTGGAGTTTAGAAGGATGAGAGGGATCTGATTGAAACTCTCAGAATACTGAGAGGCCTGGATACAGTGAATATGGAGAAGATATTTCCACTAGTAGGAGAGACTAGGACCTGACGGCACAGCTTCAGAGTGAACGGATGATCCTTTAGAACTGAGATGAGGAGGAATCTCTTCAGCCAGAGGGTGATGAATCTGTGGAAGTCTTTGCTGCCAGATGCTATGGAGGCCAAGTCATTGGGTGTGTTTAAGATAGAGATAGGTTCTTGACTAGTATGGGGATCAAGGGTTATGGAAAGAAGGCAGGAGATTGGGATTGAGAAATGATCAAATAATGGAGCAGACTGGCTGGCCTAATTCTGCTCTTCTATCATATGATCTTGTATTCAATTACTCCAATATGGAAATATTCAATTACTCCAATGTTTTTAGAATGGAAAATAGAACTTTGTTAATAGGGTTATTATTGATCTTGGGTCGCTGGTTCAAGTTGGTAGCAAGTGCAGAAGAGCATGAATGGCTATATGGGTTTCAAATCAATCAAAAATCAAATCAAATGGGTAGTATCTAGACAAAATTGTGGAGGGAGGCAGATATTAGTGGAAAAGTTGTGGGAAAATGAGATATTTGATCTTGTGATGAAAAGAGCTTTTGAAATGAACAGATGGATGGTGGATTTTGTTTTAGTCTCTATACTTTGTAACATTTCTGGTTTGAGATTCAGAAATATGTACAGGATTTGCATTTTACCATGTTTAACCAATTGAAAAGAGTGGGGGATTACTGTTGGGAGCTGTGAATTTGCTTGTTTGATTTTTTTTTTTGAGCGCTTGCCCAACTGAAAGTGGGAAACTTTAAATTAAAATTGGCAGTTATGGTTTGTTGTGAGAAGAAGCACCTTCATCTTTGTGAAATGGTGTTTAACAATGAAGATTAGCATTTCAGCTGTGGAACTATTTTGACCATTCATAGCAGTTGTTCTTTTTTTTTGAATAAAAAGTGTCACACTAAGTTGAGATTATCCTGAAATTCTGTTTTAAATGCCAGAACGTATTAAATTTGGGTGTGTTATCGACTCTGTGATTTTTTCCTTTTTAGGATAGAAAGACTGTTGCTCAATCTGTGCTTCACAGTTTATTAGATCTTTATTGTGGAGCATTAGAACATGTGCTAAACTTTGAACTTCTCTTTTTTTTTCAGAATGACAGACTTTCAAGGTATGATTTTGTTCATTTTTATAGCCTCTATATTATTCCTAGGCAAAATGCACAAGATTTTAAACAATACCACACAGGGTTTGTAATAGTTTAGGATGATTAATTTACATTTATATTATTGGAAGTTGGAGGAAGATTGTGTGTTATTGAGGTTCTGAGAATAATTGGGTAAGTAAAATTAGAAAGATTTACATCTTTGGGTAGAGGATGAACATATCTGTATTAGAAGTGTTTTGCTGGGAAGATTGCCAAAATTAGTAAGAAACCACACACTCTTCTGATGTTGCTTTAGGTTTATTTGATTACAGTAAACATGCTCATGACACCACGATAAAATAAAGCAAGTTAACAATGTCTACTTGTTTTACAGGTTTGACCCAGGGCTTTCTAATACTGCACATAATGAGGGTCCTGAACAGTTCACTAATCGAACAGGTTTCTCTACTTATAGAGGAAGCAAGCAAGGGTCTCTCAGGGCAGAAAAAGAAGACACGTTGGATTATAAAAAGGTGACCACTGAAGTGGTGTCCTGTCTGAATTTGTGCTTTGTAAATGCATTTCAATATTGTGAAATAATCCTGTCCCTGACTTCCTTGCATTTGTGTGCAAAGCAGGCTCTTGAGTCCTGGGTTAGTGCCCTACTCAAAGACATGCTGATCATGCTGCACTCCCTCCAGATCGCGGTGCAGAACTATCTGAGTTCCTGTTTTTCTGATGTGCTGTTAACGAAGAATCCTGTTTGCCTGCTTTTGAGGACTGGAAGATTACATGACTTAATACGTAGAAATTTAGGCGAGTTGACCTGATGTCCTGGAGACAATATAATTCCTCAACCATCAAAACACCTTTTCTGATCACTTACCATGTTATTTGACCTGGCTGACTCAAATTGGGGCTTCTGTGTTTAGCTTGTATACATGACGACAAACACAATCAATTGGCTTGAAGCACTTTGCGATGACACTGGCTTGAGCAAAGCGTTATGTAAATGCTAATTAATTTTTGGCTCATAGTTGAAAGTTTCATCAAGAGTTGCAATTTATAGAAGAGGGCAATTCTACATTTGGTAAACATGGTATTTAATTTGTATTATTTTAAAAGTGGAATTCCATGTATTACAATGGTTGGATATTTGTACTTCCACAGCTTTATGAGCAGTTCTTGGCAGAAAATGAGAAACTTAAGGCGAGTCTACATGACACAAACCTGGAACTGAATGAGTTGAAAGTGCAATTAGAGAAAACCACACAGGCAAGTGCAACTGTTAAATCTTGCATGACAATGGAAAATAGAAACGATATTTCACTGTTTGGAGTCAAGTAATGAAGTATGCTGTGTCGAATACAAATTGGTTCGTGTGCAAACAGCTTGATTATTTTTGCAGCAAGACATCATATGGCTTTGGGTTCACCCAGAATATCCTGACTTAGAGACAATACCAATATTGTTTTTCAGAGGCAAGAAAGGATAGCTGATCGGTCGCTGCTCGAGATGGAGAAAAGGGTGAGCTTTAATTCGGAATGATCTCTTAGTGCAATCTAGAATGACATGAGTAATTAAAATTTTGAATAGTTTCAGTGATTTATGATATTTAGATTAATTTGGGGTGATCACATTATTAGCTTACATGTCATTTTAAGTCCAGGTGAAAATTCCAGTATTATAGACCATTGAGAAAACAAGCTGTCGTCTTAATGGACTAAAATAAGCTATTTTCTCAAACACTAAACAAATTAAAATTGTGTATTTTCGCTGTTATTTATTTTACATTGCGGGGTAAATTGACAACTGGATCCTACGTTGAGTTGAGGTGTTGTAAAAATTGCATCAGCATTGTAACCTTCAATAAAACTGCAGTAGCAACTGTGAAAAGGAGAAGCTGACCTGTTTTAATGCATAATTTATAAGCAACATACGTCACTGAAGTATTGATCGCATTTTCGGGTGCAACGTACCAAGGTGTAAGTGTGTCCTCTGGGTTTGGCATCTCTAGGTCAATGCTCAGGCTGTTCAAAACCCATGGCACTCAATAATTCGGCAAACTAGAGCATAGTGGATGACTTCCTGTCAGTCACCAGAACTGCGCAGTGTATTCTGCAGATGTGGGAAAATGTTTGTTTTTCAAGCCATGATGGGAAACTATTGGGAAATGCATTATCTTTATAAAGCAGTGGATGAAGACTTAGAGCAAAACATGTTTTATTTAGACTTTGCTTTTCCTTTTCAATGCAATTTTGTCATAGTTTTCCATTATTTAACAGGAAAGAAGAGCTCTGGAAAGGAAAATAGCAGAAATGGAAGAGGAGCTTAAGGTAAATGTTTAGACACCATTTACTTTAAACTGATTGATATCGAGCATGAAAAGTTCACTTGTGCACAGAGTATCTTCTAAAAAGCATCATAAGTTTCCTGTTGTGAATGTAAAATGAGATTTATGTGTTAACTTCTGATGTATAAACATGGGATTAGCATGAAAATGTTTAGCTGGCCAAATGAAATTGCCACCACAACCAGTATTCTCAATATATCAGCTTGACATTGCAAGAGCAGTAAAAATGAGCTTATCAAAATGTAATTTGTTTATCAAAATTCTTCAGTTTGATTAATTAAACTTGTTGGTTTGGTTTTGACACTGGCAGATGCCTCCAAGGAGGTTTTGTTTAAAATGTGCATCATTATGACCTTGAACAAACCAAAGGCCCAGATTTTCCCCTTGGTTCTGTTGCATATCTGGCACAACTGTTTCCATGCAATCAAATGAATAGATTTGTGGAGGGAAATTGAATCAGAGATAGTAGGAACTGCAGATGCTGGAGAATCCGAGACAACAAGGT